CCGCCTCCCCGCCCGGCCCCCCCCCCCCGGGGTCGCGCGCCGCCCTGCCGCAGGGCCCCGGCGGGTGCTGCCCCTGCGCTGCAGCGCGGGCCGTTCCTCTCCCGCCAGCCCAACTTCTCCGACAACTCTGCTACCAAAGTGCCTCGGCGGCCAGGACCCTCACCCCTGCTCAGAGATGCTGTGCTGTTCCGGGGTCTCCAAGATCCGGAATCACTTGACCCTGCACGCGCTGGGCACCCATCCAGAGCGGGGAAGCGAGCCTCCCACCCCGCAGTGAAAGCGCGAGGACTTCTCCCCGAGAAGTAGTGTGAGCAACCAGGGAAAAGAGGCTCGCTGGTACCTGCGTAAAGTGCGGGTTCTGAATTCCGTAATCTCTAACTCCTTAATCCCGCAATGCACACTGGGGCGGAGGGGCAGCCTTGAATTCATTCGAAACATGCTTTTTAGCCCCCAAAGAGCCATATCGCTTCTCTCAGACGGCAAAGCTGGGGGTTTCGATGCTCTTATAAAAGGAGTGTGGGAGGGATCAGGCCTTTACGATGACTCCAGAACCCAGGCGAATGTAGTTACCCCGAGAGGTTAGCCCTGGGGCGCACAAAGAAAGGTGCCCCTGCTCCCCGGAAAGGCTGCCCTCACGGACCGACGAGGTCGGCCCTGCGTCCCGACAGCTTCCCTGCCACCCGGCAGGTGGGGTGCCTGCTGTCCTGCGCACAATTAGGCGGGAGGAAACGGGGGCGCGTAGGGGAGGTAACTCGGACCAGCTCGCTCAGTGGGTGGGACAGCTATTGGCGCTCTCCGGATGTCGGTGACATCACAGCTCCAGCCAGCCTGGGGACCGGGCTCCTGGCCTGCAGGGGTCTCCGACAGAGTGGGCGTTCGGTCCTCATCCGGGCGCAGGGCAGCAGGGGGGTGGCACCCCTCTTTCTGCGGGGACCGCGCGGGCCTGTCCTGTCCTGCTGGCGCCCGCGGTGCGCCTGCTGCAGCGTCTTCCTGGCAGCCGTCTGGGGGCGCCGTTTCCCAGAACAGACACGGTCCCACTAGGCTTGCAAGCCGGCTCCCCTTACGCCGCAGAGGCTCTGCGTCCTTCACGGTCTACTTTCTGGGAGAGAAAACGGCTTTTCTTGGGCCGGGGATGGGGAGGTGGTTACCGCATTACTTCGCCGGTGGTCCCCCCTCCTCTCGTCCACGCGAGGATGTCGGCCACTGCTGGAAGGCGTGGGTGCTTGCTGGCGCCACGCGGGGAGCAGGTGCCGTTCCAGGTGGCCCCTCGGCCCGGGCAGCCCACGCGCACATCTCGGGGACCGCAGAGCCTAGCCTGCCCCTCGCCAAGCCAACCCGCGGATGCTTAGCACAGGTGTCCTTGCAGGTTCGATCTAGGGCCTCGAGGGCACTGGGACTGCAGAGACCCAAGAAGCAGGCGATGGTTCCAGGGGACAAGGCACCCACCAACTCAGCCCCACCGAGGCCAGTTCGCCGCGAAGCAGCTCGTCCCGCGGAGCGCTCCGATTGCTGGGTCAGTGCGACCCGTCCCGCCGCTGGTGCAAAGCGAGTGTAGGTGGACCTCCAGTCTAGAGGACACTTTGTCCAAGTACCGCGGATTTGCGCATCGAGAAAGGCTAAAGGATACTTTCTGGAGCTCCGTAGAAAGTGTTTTAAAACCAGCCGCTGCAAAGATGAGCACCACCTCACAGCGATAACCCCCAAGCGCAACGGAGTCGTCGGAGTCGTCGTCTAGCTGTTCCCGGTCATGCGAGTGCTTTGGGGACAGCTGCTGGGTGACTCACGAATAGAGGGCGGGGATGGAGGGGCTCTGGGGCTGGTAACTTGGAGAGCCTGGGTCTGTTTTTTTCTATTGTTCCTTCGAAGAGAAAATGGCCCGAGACATTTGGGGAGAAGGGGTGGGACTAGGCCTTGGAATCGGTCATGAGAGTGCTTTGGGGACAGCTGCTGGGTGACTCACGAATAGAGGGCGGGGATGGAGGGGCTCTGGGGCTGGTAACTTGGAGAGCCTGGGTCTGTTTTTTTCTATTGTTCCTTCGAAGAGAAAATGGCCCGAGACATTTGGGGAGAAGGGGTGGGACTAGGCCTTGGAATGTCCTATTTCCATCCTTGGACTGCTCCTTTTTTAAAAACTCTATCTGTATCT